TATTCTTATGAAATATTAGATATTATTATGAAAATCTGGCCAATTACTACTCCCATTATTACACTTCTTTTTTCAACATGCTGTCCCAACAGCACTTTAATATGCAAATTAGATACAGTGTATAGATAACATTGTGCTTAATGGGAAAACCAGTTTATGGAATTTTTACACACATATTGCATAAAGCAAAATGGTATATCAAAACATTGTGTTATATATTTTATAACATAGTTGAGAACCATCCTTAAACAAAGGTAGTTATAAAAAAATCCTGAAACCTAAAAATTGATTGGTGATTTTAAAAAAATTCCCATTGTTTTTGCCTTTTCATGTCTACTCTTGTCATTTTATTTGTAGAAAAACTGAGTCCTGGTGTCCTTTACAGAGGACATAGCATAACTTATGAATAAAATATAATTTTTCAAAAATGTTATTTTACCATTTTTTTCTTATGCTCTAAACAATGTAATGACATGAAAAAATACTAAATTCACAAAGCTTTTTATTTCTGGTTCTCAGGAGGATATGGTCCAACATCTGATTTACATCATAATTTAACATCTGGTGTTTCTTAAAGTCTCAGTGCCTGAGGATATTGTGAAAATTGTCACTAAACAGATTTTGCATGGTTTTTGCATTCAGCTGCTTTAATTAGTAAAAAAAAACAAAAAAACACTGTGGTTTGGGTTTCATCCGTGTTAATAATTAAGAAAAAAAAATACTTTTAATAATTGAATGTAGAAACTCTTACACTTTTTATTTTTTACTTTCTGTACAGTTTTGATATTTGAATTTCAAATTGAGTAACATCTTGTCCTTTTTGGTGCTTGAAAGATGTAGTTACTAAATGAAATTTTACTAGGAAAAGAACTGCATAAATATTCATCAAAAATTTGCAGGGTCTTTCTAAAGAAATGTATATGAATATAAATATATTGCACCACAACTGAAATGATTTAATAATACTTAACGTGTTTGACGTTTTTGGGTTGCCTTTTGTACTACATACAGTATGTGTACAATATACTGCCCTCTGCTGATAACTTCTGTACTTCTTTATTTTGTATTATTAATTTGTATTATGAACAGAATTTAAAAAGACAATCACATTTTGTTATGCTAGCTCGAGTCTCCTTTCATTATATTAAAAATTGATTATGGTGTTTAAGTTGATTATGTGGCAGCTTCTGCTTCCGAAACAAAAATAGACTCCATTGTTGTTATTTAAAAGAAAATGGAATATATTAGTTTTACAAATGATATAATGTCAGTAATTTCAAAACAAATTCTATCAGTGTATTTCAAATAATTGTTGTATTTAGATTAAATGTATTTAGAGTTGATGGCTTGGTTATGGAATCTTACAGGTGTAGACAGGTGTGTGCATTGTGACTGTAGACATCAGAAATATTATTAAAAGATAGAAGAAACCATATACAAAAGATACACAGACAAGACCCTCAGACTCCCTTGGGCAAGAGTATTTACATGAACTGCTGGTGCGCTTAGAAAGTGCCTGACCACAGTGGGGTGAAACCTTTGAGCTTAAAATCACACAGTTCCCCTTCTTAATTTACTTAACACTGCAAATGTATGTGTGCAAAAGATTAGATGTAAGAAAAGCTGTACTTCGCTGTCTCTCACTAGACAAAAAATATGTTTTATAATACAGTAAACAGAGATAGTTGGCAAATTAAATGAGTGTTTAGTATAATCTCTGATTTTTGGGAGGTTTTGGTTTGGACACTCTTTTAATCAGGATAAGAGAAACTGAAAAAAAGAAGAAAACCTTATTAGCTTAATAAACATTTTAGTATTATAATTCAATATTGTTTTTAAAGGTCCCATGACATGCTGCTTTTTGGATGCTTTTATATAGGCCTAAGTGGTCCCTAGTACTGTATCTGAAGTCTCTTTCCCGAATTTCAGCCACTACGAGCCAGTCCCACAATGAGCTTTCCTTAGGACGTGCCATTTCTGTGTCTGTAGCTTTAAATGCTAATGAGGAGGAGAGAGGCGGGGCAACTGCCATGCTTCGCTCATTTGCAAGCCATGAAGTCTCTCGAGGAAAAAAAAATATTGTGCTCGCCTCGCACGGTAGTAGCTCATTTTCTCATGGGCGGGCCAAATTCTCTGGGCGGGCAAAGCAGAGAAAGGGGAGGTAACCTTTCCCTGTATGACGACATAAAGGGAAGATTCCAGATTGGGCCATCTGAGCTTTCATTTTCTCAAAGGCAAAGCAGGATACCCAGGGCTCGGTTTACACCTATCGCCATTTCTAGCCACTGGGGGACCATAGGCAGGCTAGGGGAACTCATATTAATGTTAAAAAAGCTCATAAAGTGAAATGTTCATGCCATGGGACCTTTAAACAGATAATTCCGTTTGCTGGCAGGAGTTCCTGTTTAGATCACAAGGTGGCAGCAAATGTCAGTGATAAGATAGGGTGCAAGTAGGCTACATTAAAATGACATTTTAAATGCAAGAATGTAGAATTCAAACAAAATAAAAATAATATAATAGTTTAATAATCACCGTAACAATTTGTTGGACAGATGAAAGCTGCAGGCACAGTGTGGGTCTATGTTTGAGCTTCAGTGACTGTAGAGCAGCTCATGGCTATTGGTTGGAAGGTGGTTCTTGTGTTTGACAGAGATGGGAGAAAACATTATTCTGAAGTTAAACTGAAGAATGCTTTCAACAAACAATACACTGGGTTGATGGGTCTTTGAATGGGTCTTTAAATGGAGTGTTCAGATGAAATTGCATTTTCAGTTGTGTAAAGTTTGAAAGTGTGTAAAGCGTGTGACAGATGTTCACTTGGTTCATTCTCAGGAAATGCTATTTGTGTGCAATGAATCACTACGGATAGAATCAACAGCATACTAAACTCGGTCACATTATTTGATAGACTCCGACTCCATTTAATGCGCAATGCAATTTTTTGTTATTTATAATATATTTAAAAAAAAAATTTAAATGTTTGTTTTCATAGGAATATCAGCTAATTTAGATGTGTCCATCACCATAACATTTTAATGGGTTATATAGAGGAAAAACAGAATTAAATTGTTTAACTGCCTGTAGTGTTTTTCTAAAATGCTTTATGCATTAGTTTATGCTTTATGATTTATGTTGTATTACTTCAGAAAAAGCAGAATTTGTTTTTGTTTCTCATTTTATGTTCAACCCCATTAAGCTGTGACAATTCTCCT